AATTCATGTTTTCGTTCCATATTGCTCCATCTCTAACGCACACACATGATCATATTACATAATTAAGACGTAAGTTGTTTTTGAAGTTAGATGATACTTTATATGCGCTACAAATATGTTTTTTTATGATAATTACCTAGCATATATACTTTAAACCTATTTTCGCGATTATCAACATTATATACTATATATAAATGAACTAGAAATAATATTTTCTATAACAATTATATTTCAGATAATTTTATTTTTTATATAAATGCGACTAATTCTTGGTTTCTATTCTTCTCGACACACCCACTTATAAATTATCATTTAAAAAAGCTAACATTCATTATATTATCAGCGTTCTTACTTCTGTGGTACGTTGTAACACTAACTATCGCTTTTCGCGTGAACTTGAAGATCGTTAAATTCAAAATCACTGTGTTACTGTTAAGAATATATAGATGTAGCACTAAATTATGATATAACTTGAAAATTGTTGCCGATGCGCGGATATGTGTGTGAGTATATTTCTATAGGCATTTAGTGTACATGTTCGTGGTGCATGAACGGTTAGAAAATAACACTTCAACATCTTCGATAGACAAACTTTTACATGCTTTCAGAAAATTAAAAAAAAACATCACTGTCTCTAGGATTTAACCTAGATAGAGACACGCGAACAGATCGCGTTTCCTCAGGACTATCTCCCTTCCACTCCAACGAAATTTCTAGTTAAAGGCCAGAAGAAAACAAAATCCGCTAAAAGGAACGGAAAGCTTTTATACGTTTGATCTAAGACGTTTACTCTTGATTTTGAATACATCTGTCAGCCCACAACGCTATTTCTGGGTTTTAACACTGAATTTGACGATGAGCTTTTATTTCAGATTTTCCGTGTTATTCATAACCATCAATTCTAACCCGAGGGTACAAATTTCCGTTTCACTAACATTGAAAACAGCGTGGGGCTTTGCTTTTATCTCAGTTTCTATCAACGACCTTTGCCTCCTGCTTTTGTACGATGAGTAAAACCATTATTGTATCGAATATGGTTTAACTAGATAATGTCTAGATAAGAAGTGACGGTGTCGGGCCCATTATCATCTCACATATGCTTTCTATTTTTAGGCAGATCCGAGGCGGTAATATACAAGTTTGCACTTTCATAAGTCTTTTCGACCTTTTTTTTCCTCTCGAAATTTCCTTTCAATATAAAATCATGCCCAAGCTTTTAGCTTGTTTTCTTTTATAATGTGTATTTCAGTTTACGTCTGTATAGACTCGTCCTCAATTTTATCAATCTCCCGACATTTCCCTAGATATTTTAATGTCTATGATGTGGCATCGGTAAAGAATTTAATATACAAATTGTGCGTTGAGTTTGTGAATCTTCAAAACATATTGAGTAATAAAAATGTTTATTTTTCTTTCATTTTTCATGATCAACTAGGAAATAATTATTGTATTAAGTAAGGTCATCAGCTGTTTATTTTTACAAACGAGACGGATTGGATATGTATTATAAGTATCACGTGTGTGGAAGTTTTGTTGTTCTTTACCAATATACAAGTGAATCTATTTTATCGGGAAAAGAAAACACAGTTGGAACAAATACTATCTTGATTGAAATCAAAATATTGGTAATCAATATAGATGGAACATCAGTTTTTACTCCTATATATACAGTGTGATGTCATTTCAACAGCTTAACTAAAAATTCCTGTATACGGTCCGGTCGCACATCCGTACATTAGTATGTAACCAAAACTATACTCGGGGTTACGTGTATGAATTTTTTGTTATACAATAGTTGATATAGCACCCTGTTAAATCAGAATAAACTAACCTAAGGTGTTTTATTCATGAATCTATTCAATTGAAGCATATTTTCTTCCTTATTTCTACCGAGAAAATTATGTTGTAATTCAAACCCATGAAACCCCCTCCCTCCTTCAAAAAAAACAAAGAAAGAAAAAAAAAATCGACGTGGACTGTAATCCGGTTAGTTTAGCTACACTGCCTATATTGTATCTATTGTACATACGTGTATGCTGGTACGAATGTGTGACGATGTACGAAAAAATGAAATGTGTATCATAACAAATACAACGAGATGTATGCTCTGAGAACCGAGACATGAATTTATTAATACCAGAAACGTATAATACATGTATTATACGTCTCTGTTAATACGTAGTAGATCTAATAGGTTCTTGATCCGCCTATAGCAATCCAACTTAATATTTATTCAATGAGCAAAATGGCAATCACGTGTTTAGTAAAATATCAGAAGCTATCTGATATGTTTTAAAATATAATTAATATAAACTGCATGTGATATTTCTTATAAAATTGTATATCTGATATATCTTATTAGAAATAAGAATATCACACGTAACATTTTTTTCTTTATATAAAAGATACAATAAATTTAATATTATTTTATCATATACATAATCGCCATCGCTTGTTATGGATCCCTTTCCCCCACTACAGGAAAAGCGCAAGAGAATTACACAGCAGTTTTTCGTAAATGAGCTCCTTTTATTTCAGTTTTGATATGTGCACCAGGGTTCTCCCTTTGATCAGGACGCTCATTTGGTAAGAGCAACAGTATAATGATCGACGGGTCCAGTGTTCGAATCCTGGTCGGGGCACATTGTATTTGTTTTTCACTCAGAATTATTACGAAAACAAAATCCGGGAGGTATGGTTTTCTTTTCAGAAATAAATTATTAATGTTATCATCATGACGGAAAAAATAGTTTCCAAATACGTGATGGTTACAGTTTATTCGCAGTGGAACAGGTCGATATCCTAAAATTAAAATAAGTTGGCTTGTCATAGCCACTACATCCTCGATATTCAGGGGTTACGCTCACTTACGCTCTCTGCACAGTGAGCGTTACCCCTGTATATCGAGGATGTAGCCACTGCTGGTAAACAGATTCGAACGCAGTAACATCGGGATGATATCATGGATAAATCGTGGATTATCAAAAAGTTTAAACATTGTATAATGTCTGTATAATGTCTAGAAAATATCTAGATAATGTCTGTATAATGTATCGTGTCTGTATAATGCCTGTATACAGACATTGAACCATATAACAGAATGTCGGACAGTAACGTGTACACTGAACGGTTACGATCATGTGCTCATGAACGCTCTAGGATGTTAAATGGAAATACATTTTTTAGTATGGTGGACATTGTTTTAGAAATAAACAAAGAGACAATGAAGGCTACAGCAGATCAAAGTCGATCAGCACCAAATAAATTCCGTGCAGTATTCTTTCTAAGATTACTGAGAACAAGACAAACAATTGAAGGAAATGTTTAAGTACCTAAAGCATTGGTGGGTGGTCATTAGCTGCGAAAAATCGGGCTATTGACAAAACAGAAACAGTTCCGAGTTCAATCTAGCACGAAAAATAACGGTACCGGTCCCCAGGTCCTGTTAAGGGGGAGTTCCGTCGACACCCCGTGGTGCCGATTTCACGCCGGAGAGTTCCATCTGTCTCCTAGAATCTAGTATTTGTCTGTTGACGTTCTCGGACATTTCCCGATAACGGGTCGACAGACCGAGATCGAGGGGGGTCGGGACAGTGTGCTACTCAACATATACGTTAATTGGGCCATTGTTAAATTAACAAGGCTTTAAATTGCTTCCGGTGGACAAGATCGAACTCTGAGCGGACTGTCACACAGGTGGACATATAACGGTACCGTCCAAGTGTTTAGTCGAAACTTTGATATTTATAGCACAGCATGGTCGGCAATACTAAAGGACGAAATGTAAGATTCAAGATATTTTTGATTCTTAAAATATTATCGAATATAAAATTACATTTTTATTTATTATCGATCATTATTTATGTTATTAATTTATTTATCTTCATCACGATGAAACTTAGATTAAGCCGACCATTCCGTAGCGAGTGGCAGTTTTACTGTGGGTATTCACGGTCCATGGAAGGCTTGGTTAGATAATCTGTATCATTAGATTAATTTCAATATGACATTGCTTTATAAAACTGATGATTTCTTATAACAGTAAATACGTATTTAAAATTAAATTTAATTGAATTTCAACTCTTGCGAAAACATACTTAATGAATAAATTCGTAACAAAACGATATTTCTACATGTGATATAATGGGCCGTTTTCTTTGGTGAAATTACATGCACGTGCAATAATACAACGTTGTTCCGAAGACTCTTCGCGGGTAAACATAATCTTAATTCTCATACGCTTTGGAGATAGGGTCAAACTAGATATTTGTTGATACGAAGAGTGGTGTTATTCCGATTTATATTGCAATAGTTCATTTTTTTTTTATATATATATAACACAAGATATTTGATATAGCACAAAATCTTAATAGAGTCAGCCAAGTTTCGTCATTTAACCCTACCTTGTACATAGATATATAATTCACTCAAATTTAATCAATACAATTTATTGTTTTCGCGGGAGCCGCCTCATCTGATGATAATTACTGGTACCTATGCCACCTGGCTAACACCTCCAAATATGTGCATAGTGCCATCTCACAAACACTGTATTACCCATACCAGACCATCATGGGAAACATAGGCTGCTTTTAACAATAAAGAAAAGGCTTGTCAAAACAGCTTGCGTCCTGCCTACGCCGGGAGTTGTTCATTTTTCATTTTAATTTATAGATCGACATTGACATCTTTTAATATGACGTCAGCGTCAATAACCGTTTTTTAAATTCGTTATTTTACTAAAAGCATAAATTTAAAGTGACACTGCCTTCTGTGACGTCCAGTGATGAGGTATACGTGTGTGTTTGTTGCACACTTACTGGGAAGCACACATATGTGTCGGACACCTTCTGAAACTTACACATTTGTCTTTCAGGCACTTAAAATGGGCTATACATGTGTGTCTGTATAAATATATACCAACTGGGGTCAACATAATCATATACGCATTGTGGTGTTTGTCAGCATTTTGTACTTATAAATATACAGAATTGACATACCTGTATCCGCGCTTCATTAAGTTTGGTAATACGAGCAAGTTCTTCCCGACAGTAGATATCCGGATAGTGGGATTTTGAGAAAGCGGCTTCCAGCTCCTGTAGTTGTTCTTGTGTAAAAGTCGTCCGGTGTCGCCGGCGCGCGGGGGTGCATCAGGACGATGGGTTGTGTCCCGTGCCCGTGCCCGTCCCTCCCGCCCCTACCCCTCCAATCGATGAACCAGACCCAGATCCAGGTTCGTGTTTTATCTTTTTAAAAGCCCCTTCCTGGCCTGTAATAAATTAAATGAAATGGTAAAATAATGGAACTAATAAGAATTTAGATTTAGACGTTTTCATAAAGTCAAAATAAAATTGTTTCCAACTTTAAAATATATAAAATGTCAATTAATAAAGAAGTATACTTGTAATCAAATATTCGTTAAGAAAGGCTTATTTAAAAAATAATACATTCAGCTGACTCACCGAAACTGTCCATTTCGAAATCTATATAGATTCCTTCGTCATTCTGATTTACATTACAATCCATAGCTGTCAATTGCTTGTTAATTTCCACCATAGTAATACATTTCACAATCTAATTCAATTTTTCATCCTTCCGCAATTTCAATATTTGTTAATATAATTTTCTGTACCATATTTTTTTCTAGAGAAAAAAAATACGACACATGCTATCACTGTGTACTACACCGGCTGAAATCACAGATTCGGGAGTTAGTTCTTCTACACTGACATTCTTACATAAACTAACAGATTGCTGTGGTTTTCGGCGGACAATTCCTAAATTATTCACGTTGACCACTGGTCATTCTAGCCGAGGTGTGAAGGTGCTAACAGATGGCGAGAAAGATTGTGTTCAACACACCTTCGGCCGATGGTCAAGCGAAACTGCTGTTTTGTCACCTGAGATATCGACGTGTCCGGTGTTTATCTGGTCAGATGTCGACCTGAACGACCTTTGACCTCGAGTATCGTTGTTGTAACAGTGATGTAGTAATTCAATTAATGAAACACAAGATCAGAAAAAAGTCGGTGACCACTTTGTCCCATTATGACCTACAGGACTGAACCCCCGGGAGTTGTGGCTCGGCCGACACTGCTCTCCGCGAACAAAAATCGGCGACACCCGTAAACCATATGTTTGACAAGATTTTGTTTGAAATCTTAACCTAATGCCGACAATTTATGGTAAAAGAATCTTATCGCTAAAACACAGAAGGATTTTATAAAATAAGCAAAAAAAACCGCGGAAAAAACATTACTTATTATTGAAATATTCGCCATAACACGGACGTATAAAATGCAATATAAGTAAAGTTCACAAGCATAAAAAATATCTGAATCTAAAGCCAATTTCTAAAAGTACGTTTAATAATGTTACATTAGTTTATTTTGTAGTTTATTTGAAGATATAGGACGGACGCATTCTGGAAATATTCGCTTTAAGAGCAATATATATAAATACAACTTTGTCCTGCTAAAAAATGTAACTTTGTTCTGCTGAAGTTTTTGTAAATTAAATATGTATTTGATAATTATCAGTGAAATTAAGATATAATGGATATTCCAATCTGTCATTGAAGAGAAAATAACTTCTAATAAACCGCTTTTCTAATATCAAACATCGATTTTAATTTCGTATTTTTGTGTAAATATAAAATGTATCATAAATAAAACAACGAGACATAACATTGATATGAATTACATATGTGTAAATTGGACTGTTCATTATATAGTGTTAATTTGAGGTCCTCAACATGTCAAATAGTTTGCAATTGAAAGCTTAGCGGCAATTAATTTATAAAATAAAAATCCGTAACTGTTGTGTTTTCCTTTGCTAGTCCGAAAGGTGAGAAGGTTCTTTGTACATAATCACCTCATTCTCAATTGACGGGAGGAAATAATCAAATACATACAAATATCATATTACTTTCATACTGAATTCAAATGAATTTAGATCAATGATGTAGGAAACAGTAAACACGGAATGTGATTGAACTTTAGAAAAGCAGAAGGACATGTGTGTATAGATTAGTTATACTACTTACGCCGACTTGATTGGGAAAATCACACACGCGATCTCAAGTAAACTCTCCGAATACATATTTAAAAACTATACGTTGGTGTCCCTAATCCTATCATTACCTCTTTTGCTGTTACCCATCTTTAACATCTTATATATATATATACATATATGAATTTGTATTAGGTTATTACGTGACTCATTAATTTTGTATATATATTTTCTGTTACGGAAAGGACGTAAGTAAGTTGCAATAACTTTTGTCCAATCCATTTGTCTTTTGTTGCAATAAAATTGATTTAAACTAAAAACAGTATACTTCTGTTTACTCAGGAAAATGTTGTATTAATCATTATTTTGGATCTGTCCGTCAACAAAATGATTTGACGATGTGTCGGCATAGATAACGTTACAATGGTTTACATACATGCGTACATATTCGTTTTATTTAGATCGAAAGTACCTAGCAATTAAAATGAGCTTTATATTTGATTTTTTTTTGTGCGAGTAGTTTTGATACTACAAAAGACAAATCTAGTTTTAGTTTTTTGGTGAATATGAATGCCGTTATTTTCATTTACAAGGACAAGACAAAACCCCGCCTTTGCTACGAAAAGATGGTCATGTTGGTGTATTCCTTTTTATAAATCTATAATAAAATTTGTTTGAACTGACTTTCTTTATAACGGAGATAAGCACAATATTAATTGATATTTCGCAAACTTTTAGAATTAAAATAAATACATTTTGTATTGTTTGAAACACGTGCAAAGAAAAATAATTTCAGACGTCAGAAATAATTGTAATTGCAATCCGACGTCACATATTTCGTATTTTGATAAAATGGGTTCGGTACATGTCTTTCAGTTCCGAATTTTCTTTGCGTGTTTGTGCTGTGGTAAAGTTTTGTTTGTAGATTACAATTTCAAGGAAACAGTATACTTAAAATCTTTATCGCATTTAGTTTGTTGTGATTAAAATTTCAAAATTATAGTTCTATTTACAATCAAAGATAACGACACTATACATGATTAAATTTTTCTTTTGTCGTAACATTATTATTTGTGTTATATTGCTAATTGTTTCCAACATGGGATCGTATAAAATAACATTTTGATGATTTTAAAGTAAAATCGACAAATGATATTGTCATCACATGTATGTAACTATTTGTATTTATAACTAGTTCAAAATTCATAATTTAATGAAATATCTATGTCGGACAATTTTCAATCAGAAATAATATTGTGTCTCGACCAATGTAGCTTTCATCCTGGCGTGTCAAATGAAAAACGAAATGTTTGAAAAATATATTCTATTCGTAGAGAATTATAAGATCATATCTCCTGAAAATTTTAGCTTGTTAAAACTTAAGTAAATATACGATGATTTAAAACATCGCAAAACGTTTGTTTTCCAAGATAAAATTAAACGTTCCGTCCATTCTTCAATTTTCCCCCACAAATAGTCAACCGTTTACCTTCATATTGGTATATTGATATGGAAGATGTTATTATATAGTCTTTACAAATTTGTTAAATTTCCAGTTTCTTTTATATATTATACACACAAAAATGCAAATTTACATTAAAAACAGTAAAGTTAAGAAAAGAATAAAAGTAAACGGTTGTCATCCTCACTTACCAAAACGGCCAAAAAGTTGTTAAATAAAAGAAATTTCAGCCAATAAATATCATTTCCGTGTGGTCCTGTAGAATCACAGAGAGGGAATAAACAAATGTCAAAATCTCGAACCGATGTTCCGAGTTTTATATCCATGTGAAATAATCCAACTGACCGACAAAACGAATCCCTCCTAACGTTATAAACTTAGTCGTATTCCTAAAGCGAAAATCTCCTTTACTTGACGATGTTAAAACATGGAGACGTTTCCTAGGACACTTTCTTAATCCTGTTTGTTAGTTTTATTGTGGAAACCGTAACCAGTGAAAGCATGCAGGAGGAGTAAATTTCGTTAGGAGAAAACAAAATTATGGCTTTAGTACAAATTACCTGTTCTGGTCGGAGGTGGTTAGCGCCAGCAAATTGCTGACAATTGTATCAACCACATCTTAACATTATTTCATATTCCGGCGGTGTCCGCCATAACGAAGTCTTGTTGTAGTAATTTACCTACTGCTATTGTAAACAAAATCACATTACTCTGCCAATAAGTAATAAAATTTGTAGTCTGTTCGTCGACCGCGTTACCTGATGATTCGATCATTATTCCATAATTTTTATTTCAATGCTCTTCTCTATTAACTGCCATGCTAGAAAATTGGGTTAATTACTAAAATGAATTATTGTGCGAATAAATTTAATTTGCCTAGGGGTTTTGTCTAATGAGAGACTGTAAGAGCGGGTATACGTACCGTTGTCGACCAGACCACGAGCTGAGGAAGCGGCGTCCAGATTGTATAACGCAGTAAAATCGTCCACCTTCCTCTTGTCGTTTCGGTCATCTCCCAAGGAAACTCTGCTTTCGTCTGTCATTTTGATGGGTTGGAAATTTGTGTAAAAAATAGTGTCGATTCTGAGAGGTGATGTTGGAAAATTAAGTGTCTAATATGATTTTCCTTTCTCTATATTTATACCGAATTCGAGGAGAAGTTGGTTCCTCGGTTTTCTTAACCAATCAGATTTGTTTTTATTGAAAATATTATGCATCGGTATCATATTATGGGGTCGCGTGCCATGCCGTGTTCTGATTGGCTGGCGATGATCAGAGGCGACCGCCGGTATGCACGAAGGCGTAACGATCCCCTGGCTTCCTAGCTACCGTTTACGTCCTTTCGGTAGTTTTGACTTTCGTTCGATCCCTATTCCTGCTTTGTAACTATTTGTGGTCGATGAGTGTGTGATCGATTGGGGTAGTGACGAGTTTGTCTGTGAATGTAGGATAATTACGGAAACAAACGGGGCAGATAGATGTCGCTGATGATTATCTGAATAAAGAATGAAAACTTGATAATGGCAGTGATCGTGGGGGTAGATATATACTTAGTCAGGTATACACTATACATGTGCTGTACGCACATACTATATTATGAATGGTGTACCGTACTTACAAATAACGCCACAATGTAACTTTCAATAAAATATATCTATAATATATGTGAGCTGAAAATCAAAACTTCCAAAATATTCAACGACCCTGCACGATATATACATTTGTTAAAATTATAGTAATTAATACGATAATAATATCGTTATTTCGATATTCAACCTAGGCCTGCATTGACTTATTATAGTGAATGACTCATTATTTAACACTTTGAAATGAATGATATTGGAAACCACACCGAAAGAAAACAGAGAATATGATAAATGAGCTTATGCTAGCAAATGTTATGTGGGTATAGCTCGCTAGCATTGGTGTTTTTTTTGCATCCAGTAAGGTCTATTGCGATATGAATAATTCATAACACTGCTAAATTAGATTTTATCTATTTCAATATAGCATGTACATAAACTCAATCTTCTCTCTTCCTTTTCTCTCTCTATTACTTCCATAATTTTAAAAAGAAATGGCGTTAAAGTCATTGTATGGTAGTCTGCATAAAGTATAAAAGTTGCAACAAAAGAGACCTATAAGTTTGGTAAAACGTGTGTCTAATTCGTTTTGTACTATTGCATGAAAACATAAACTGAATCCCATCTGTACCGTCCTTCTCGCATTACTTACTGATTAGAATATCATGACGTCCATGTTAATAATATCTATCCGGTGTGAATGTTTCAATATAATCAATTAAATGTATTTATCATCAAAATTACTATGTACAAATTAACCATTTCGAAAATTCGAAGCTTCTCACAGCTGACAGGCAATGATTATTGTACTTTTCACAATTAATTTTATCTTAAATATTTTATGGAATTCTAAACTGAGTTTTTACAAACCAAAAAATGTCAGTGTGAAAAATTCAGCTACAGATCGTCGTGTTTTAAATCATTAATATTTGAATGTTTTTTTTTCCACAAGATTTTTATTTCACTCAGCCACACTTTTGTGTGGTACAGAAGGTCACATTGATACAAATATATAACTTATGATAGTTAACAGGATTTACACCATTATTGGTATTTTCAATGTTGTTTCTAGAAATCTACAAACTTTTTTAAGGAGAACAGTGTTGCAAATTTGAAACATTCCTTTCATTTTCACGGTCGTCGGATAATTATAGTAATACTTAGGTATATATTTTTGCCTCAGTTCCGTAATCTGACTGGTATTACAAATAAAGAAATAATGGAAATCGTCGCCAATATCGATGGTAAAACACACATGCAACTATTTTTACAGGTTATTAGGTATTGGTGAATTTAAAAGAGTTTGAAAAATGTGCATATTTCTAGACGTTTGTGTAAATACCAGTAGAAAGAACAACTATAATTTTATCAGTGAAAATGGTATTTTTTTCTTTACAATATGATGGTTTTTGGATATTTTATTAATAGTTCCATGAAGGTGACATCATATTACAAATGACGACATGAGAATGCGACCTCAAAACGGATGACCCGACAGAGCGTAATTTTTACGAGACAGTGGTAGTTTCTAGGAAAGCTACAAACAGAAAATTGTTTTCTTGAATATCATTAACATTTTATCATATTGCACTTTTATGTTGTCATACGTGAAAATATCAGTGAAATCAGTCACATTCTCTTATTGTTTTGTAAAACATTTTTACATATTTATTTAAATTGGAAACAATCGAATATCCCCAACACGGCCTGTTGTACATAGGAAGAGGCGGGCGAGGGGGACGGTGGGGGCAGTATCGTTGTTTACATAGGAGCGCGTGGTGTTTGTGTACATACTACAAACATATTCAACCATTGTGTTAGTTTTGCTTTTTTGTAGAAACACCGACCCATCTGTTATTTAATGTAAATATAGAATTTGTAATGCTAAACATCCCGAGAGAAGATAGAAAATGTATTCTTTGCGACCTGAATGGAATTGGAGACGAATATCATTATTTGTTTAATTGTAATGATCACCAGATACTACTACAAAACAGAAGAAAATGTATGTCGAGATATTATTGTGAAAGTCATAGTACTTTCAAGTTCAACACATTATTTATTTAATTATTAAATTTCAGTTATTTAAAATAAAATAAAAAATAGATCACGAATATTTCCACCTTGATGAAGGCCCTAACAAGCGAATATAGATCATAAAAGCAGAAAGGTACAAAATTACAAAATCTAGGAGAATATCCCAGACAATCACACATTGCAAAGCCCTAACAGAGACAACGGCGTAAAGAAGAAAAACGGAGAGAATTAAACAACAAATAATCTGCGAGTAAGTTTTATGGAGACATTGTTTTATTATAGGAGATGAATTTTGTTTAATATGTTTTAGTATTTTTTTTGTTCTTTTCCGCTAACACGACACAACTGTATGTGGATAGTATAGCAAATCTTTATTACACAAAGTGCATTTTTTACTCATTGAAACCCCGGTTTTACTTATAAAACACACATTTTTGACAAATATGTTATTTCTGTATATATGTCCTTACCTGCTTGTTTGACAACTCTTTAGGAAGGGTGCATTTTTTCATTATGTATTCGGTTGTCTCCCTTTGAGTTTACTTCTTGCGAACATGTATGTTTTATTTGAAACCTTATATTTTTTCAATTTCTTTAGGATCGAAATGCAATCTTAATAGTTTTGATGACAAATTTGCTAAGGAACATCTTATATATTGAGCTATTGCACACCTTCAATGTTTGTAAGTAAATAGGTTATATTTATTTTATATAATTCAATAACATGTATTTCAAACGTATATGTCTTGCACAACGAAGAAAATCATAATCTTAGCTAACTTATCTATTATAAATGATGAATGTAGGACAACTTCCTCTCGGATCAAATTACACCAGGTGCTCGAATCGAATGACTCCCACATGAAAATATAACGGGACTTGAGCAAGACAAATACTAGAAAGGTCTGCTTTCAAAAAGTTTGTGTTATATGAAATATTTACTTCAACGAATGAGGGAATCTTTTTCTAAAACAATATCTCTTAACTACGGTACCCTTCATAGGGGAAAACTTTGTAATGACAAAGTGAACATTTACATTTTAGCATGTTTTTAGTCTAATTCCAACTCATCTGACAGAACTACACGTGTAGGCTCGACACCAGACACACCTGTCATGTGGGTTTTTGATAAAACTTAAAACAAAACAAGTTAAATTAACATCAGAATGTTTTTTTTATTCATGAATTGATTGATTTGTTTGTTTTAATATATAGTGTATAAATAGAAACAATATTGTAGCTATATGTAAGGTAAGTCTGTACACTACATGTTTATGTATACAAACAAGGTTTAATCAAGTCTATCTCACAGATGGTATTATGTTGGTTTAACGACCAATTAAAGTTGTTTTTCAAAAGTACGCGAACGGCACGTGCGCTAAACTCACACCAGCTATATACAGCGATACCGTCCAGCGCTTTTGGACGGTTGAAGAAGCAATTGTTTTGACTGTCAAATATCCGAGTCTGCTGACGTCATAACTTTGAAGGTTCCGATGTTATGCCAATTCAAATTTTGATTTGTTGGACAATTACCTCAAAATAATTGTTAAAAAATAAACTAAAAAAATATCATTTTAAAGTAACATATTTGCAGTTTTTATGAAATTTAAGTAACTCATGAATGGGTATTGATATTGTCCTCACCAGTGTAGTAGTGTCCAGTTGTAAAAGGGGGTCAGACACTCTCCTCCGGGCAAGGACACAACCAATTAGCTCTTCTCGTGATCTAATTGGCTGCCTTATCCACGGACAGGTCAGAAATAAATCTGGACATTGACCAGTGTCCTGGGGCCGTAGACTGACCATCTGTATAGGAAACAACGGTAAAAGAAGAACGACCACTACTAGTGTTTTCGACCTTAATTATTTACATGTACAATAAACACAAGTAACACAACTTTATCAAGCAAATTAGCAATCGTTTCAAATCTTACATGTATGAATAGAAATGCATTTAACTTCTTATGTTGATATGCAATATCTGTTAGACAACTTTGACCTACTAGTAAGAACTGTTAAACTAATGATGACATGAGCTTTTCATTATGTATAAAGGGTACATGTATATGCTTCCTTATTGTGAACCAAAATTTATTTTTTAAATATTGGACACCAGTAAATATGTAAAATGTTTTATTATTTGTCGACACGACTTGGTTAATGCAATATTGGCTATTGAAGTAATATGTCGAAATGGTTTCATTTCAGCGAAGATCTCTCGAGATAACGCAAAAACTTCGGGATAACTGGCTTAAATCTCATGAAATGGTAAAACGGGATCGAACGCAAAATCGTTTTTTATCATATGGCCAAGAATGGACGAGAATATTTTATAAAAACTCTCCAAGGTCATCATGTTTCGTGGTCTATTGTCCCTAATGCGATGTCACATTTCCAAGACGTCATATCTAAATGGCTTAACTCTGACGTCATAATGTTGTTTG